AATGCAAGTGTGTGACCATTAAACATGGACTGAAATCACATAACAAGTGATGCCAAATCATTGAAATAGGCCAAGTAATGCATGCTAGAGGATTCAATACACAAAGCTAACAAGCTAGATTGAACCAAGGCTATACAAAGCAAGTCATGTATGACCAATACAACACAAATCAGACCTTAAACATGCTAAAACATGAACAAAGTCTTCTCAGAGCTAAGCCAAAAGCATGCTAAAATGACATGTCAAGGCATGAGGCATGTTAGGCTAAATCATGGAAATGCACTACAAGTGCATGAAGCATGTAAGGGCCAACCAAACCAAACCAAGACAGAGGTATGACATGGTATAACATCACCTAAAACATGCTGAAATGGACACAAACCAAGCTAAAAAAACATGCTACTTCATGACGCATATAAAGCTAGTTTAAGGGGTTTACACTACAAGTGTATTAGGCATGCAAGAGCTAACCAAACCAACCCAAAACAGATCTAAGGCATGTTAAAACAACACCAAAAACCTACTGAGATGGCTCCAAAACAAGCTAGAAAGACATGCTCAAACATGAGGCATACAAGACTAGATTGTGTGATTTACATTACAAGTGTATAAGGCATGCATGGAATGACAAAATCAAGCAAAAATAGTGGTATGTCTCAGCAAAATAACCACAAATAAATGCTAAGAACAAGCCAACACAAGCTTAACAAAAGTGTTCAAACATGAGGCATATGAAGCTAGAAAACAAGACAACAAGGAGAGGGGATGACCCTCTCCTATTTAGGACCTCAAAACACCATCCCCACCACTAAAAGAGGGATTTCAGTGGTGAGAAGGCCAAAACAAGGTGGTCCCGAAGCTCACAAAAAAGACACAAAAACAAGGCCAAACAAGGTCTAAGAGGGGGTAAACAACCCCAAACACAAAAGTAACCTTAAACAAAGATCAAAAGCATGCAAAAACAGAACTTTTATTAGTTAAGAGTTAAGCTCAAAACAGGATGGAAGATAGGCTAAAGCTTAAGCAAGAAATGGGGATTTAAGGGTTAGAAACTCACTCTTGAAGACCTTCTTTACTACTGCAACTCCAGCAGCCTCTTTAAGCTTAAACCAGTCCAAGAACACCAAAAACAACCTCTTAGCCCCTCAGCAACCCAAGCAAGGTGTTTGAGTGTGTGTTTGTGTTTTAAACTAAGACAAATCTACACTTTTGAAGCACAAAAATGAAGAAACAAAGAGATATAGATACAACACTATATCTATCCCTTTTAGCTGGTTTTTCTGAACCTAGAGGAGGGAGGAGGAGCCTCCCTCTTTTAGAGAAGGAAAGGCAAAGCTTCTTGGAGAAGCTAAGCCTCAAACAAATCCCTCCATACACGTGTATGGAGGATGGCCCTAATGTCCTCCAGTTGTGCTAGCTGGAGGAAAATATCTCCAAAAAAGTGTCAAAAAGCAGCCGACCACCTGAAATGGTCAACCTGCTAGTAAAAGTGGCCGGCCGACCGCTTTAAGTGGTCAACCAGAGTAAAAACTGGTCGGCCATAGGTGGGAGAGGTCAACACACTAAATGCAAGGTGGTGGTGTGGTAGCCGACCAGAAAAGCCCGAAAACCCAAAAACTAGCTGATGAGCATCAAAAGTGGTATGTAACCACAAAAGTGGTCTCCCGGACCACAGTGTTCCTCTAGGCTGAGGCAACAAGTGTGGTTCAAAAACCACACCAAACGGAGAATGTTAAGCGATCCCGAGACAAGGCGCGCGGCCAAAGGCTCCAAAAATCGGAAACTAGTCTCCAAACGGGAAAAGTGGCCTATGACCACAAAAGGTGGTCTACGACCACAAAGAGATGGTCTACAAGACCTCTCCCTCCCTCCGTAAAGAGAAAACAAGATTCGGTCCACAAGCTGAGCCGGAGCACAAAAGAGTTCAGAGGCTCGGAGGCAAGGCCCTCAGCCAAAACTCCGGAGACTCGAAACGAGCACAACATGCACCATCACCGAGCGTTCAATCGATGACGTCTGAGTCTTAAGGTCGGTCAAAAATGGGGTGTCTACATTAAGGTTTCATACTTAATGGTTTAATCCCTTATGGGGTTCATTATTAACGGTATAATGCTCCTTTCATACCCAAAACAACTTGTGTTTTGAGCTCTTTTTCCGTTAGAGGACTTTAATTCACCATTGGACTAAATTGGATTAAAGAATGGCTGATAAATTAAAATGAGTAACTAAAACTTCGGACTAAAAGTGTGCAAGATAACAACTTGTTGTGTTAAATCGGATGTTAATTGAACACATAGAAACTTGAGTCATTTCATACTCACTAGTGACAAAAAGATTCAAGTCTCCAAGGTCAACCAATTCCCTTGATCATGCATGATAGGGAGATGGTTTTGACAGTCTCATTTTGTTGCATTTATTGAAATTGCACACTTTGATTCATAAGCCATCATGTAATAAAATTGCTTGAGTTGATGGTTTGTAAACCAAGTTCACAACTCCTTTGATTTTCGCATGAAAATGAGGGGTGAGTTGTGCAAACATACCTTTGAAATACCTTGTATATGCTCTATTTGTCCTCAGTTGCAGCAAGATGAACTTGTGCATCATTGGCCGACAAGCCACTCTCCCGGCCGGCTACCACTGGTGGTCAGCAACCTTCATCACTGGCCGGTCGACCACTGACGCAAAATTCAGCAGTGTGTTTCCGAGGCCAAGCAAAGCTGTTCTAGAAGTAGGCAATAGTGTTGGTGTTCAATTGTGAAAATAGAGGCATTCAGAAGTAAAACAGTGCCTTTTGGGTGGAAACCGAGCACGTGCACGAGCATTCTTTGCATTCCAAGCTAGTTTAAATATTTATATTAAATATTTATTGTAATTAATTAGTTATAGCTAGTTAATTCAAATGTTGTAACTAATTAGTTAGTTAATTAGTTATTCGATCTCTTTTTGTAATTAATTAGTTAACTAAACTAGTTAGTTAATTCGAGTATTATAATAATTAGTTAAATAGTTTAGCTATTTATTCATTTGTTTTGTAATAATTAATTAGTTTAGCTTAGTTAGTTAGTTCATTCGGACTCTCCTTCGTGAGAGCGCAATGTTGTAATAGCGTGTATGTCTGCCAACCCCAAGTCTTTCTCCTTTTTATTTATCTGCTTACGATGGTTAAATTATGGACATCACATTTTGTTTAGCATTTTTCATGTTTGTACGCACCGAGGCTCGATTCATCATTCTAACTGCATTATTAATTTAAAATCATTCTTTGAATACGTGCTTAGACCGCATGCTATCAAACCAATTCATATGTCATATTAGTAGCCGAGCTTATTTAGATTGCATATCGTATGTGTTGCATTAGTTATGTCGCATAAGTTTGGATCATGTATTTTTCTAACTTGTTTCTTTTTTGGCTTGAAATACTAGGTAAGCATTTAATCACTTTAGCATCTTGCATGAATGTTGATGTTGCTATGTTTCACATGTTTGCCATAAGGTTAAGTGCTTAAATGATAAACTGCTTGTATACTTGTGGATGAAGGCTAATTGCTTGGATTAGAATAATTTGAGTAATGTTCATATGATCACTTTTTCAAGTGGTACATATTTCGAAATAATTTTCAAAATAAACATGACTCGAAACGTTCCAATTCTTGCAATTTAGTCTATACTTGTGTGTGTATGCATCACATAGAAATGCTAGCCTAATAACCGGAATAAGAGTATATAATGTTGATAAAAATCATATCATGATTAGTAGAAGCCGATTTTTGATCGGGTGAGCGGAGATGCTCAATTCATGACCTTCTCCTCTGGTACCAAAGTTCTCGATTCGAGACAATCTTAGTGATGACGGACACATGGCCTTTGGCACGAGTTTTCTAAATTTTCCAAATAAAAATTTAGGTGGCGACTCTGTGTCTGACAAAACAGTCCATTTTTGACAATTTGATTTAAAATCAATTTTCCAAAATATTTGTCGGATTTGGACTATTTGGTGTTTATCAATTTCACATTGCACTTGTGAGATTATATTCAAACCCGTAGAAGTCCGAACTGTAGGACTTATTTCAAACTTTCGAAAGGGTGCACGAAAAAGTCAGGCTACAGTTTAACAAACCTTTTCGGAGTAATTCTGTAGTTAATTTTTCTTTGTCACTTTTTCTCAGGTTATCATACTAGCTTGCTACTATACTCGTAAAATTATGTTCAATATAATTTAGAAAACTTTTACGCTCCAACTGTTAGGTTCAATAGATATTTTTTGTTTGTGAAAAATCTATCTTTTGTGAAATAGTTTGATGAGAAGTCATTTTGTTTGTTTTGGACAACATTTTATTTTCAATTTTACCCCATAATTTATATGTTGACTTTTTTTAACTGTCTGTTCAAATTTTTATCTATCTGTTTAAATTTATATTTATTTGTTTAAATTATTTTCTATCTGTTCAATTTTTTTTGACAATATATTCAAATTTATATCTATCTATTTAATTTGTTTCTCATTATATGTTCAAATATCTATCCAAATTTTATTATCTATTCAAATATTTAACTATCTATTCATTTTTTTCGTTCAAATTTTTATTTTTTCTACTAACTGTTTAATTTTTCTTATCTATTAAAATAACAATTTCTTACTTGAATACCCAAATTTGGAAGCCAATTTTCCTATCTGTTTGAAATTCACAAACTAACTTTTCTATTTGTTGGAATTATCTACCACCAACACTCAAATATTACACAAAATTCACAAGCTATTATTATATTTGAACAGCTCTGACCAATTATCTGTTCAAAATTTGAAGGAAATCTAACTTATTTGTCATTTTTTTTAAAAAAAATTTGTTGCATCATCAAGAAGCAGCAGTGTCTGAATCACCTTTGCTTTCTCTACCTGATAAGTCCAACAATTGATTACCAATTAGATTCATGAGGAAAAGTTAATTATTTGAACTGAAATCCATTACCAAAAAAAAAAAAATTTGAAATTTCAAGGATTGTTTGTGAAACTGTTGTTATTGTCAAAAGTCTTACATTTCCATCTCCCATCTGGGGAACCAGATTGGAGGGAATCAGAACCGTTGTGCCAAGCATCACAAGATAGTGCTAGAACCCAAGTAGTATGGCCTCAACTACATTAAAAAACAAACCCACAATTCAGAAAAAGAATAAATTAATAAAATAAAATTACTGATGAAAGACAAATAAATCGAGTCGGATCTTGGCTAGGGCTTCGGATGAAAGTCGGATCTGGACTAAAACTTCATATTCGAGTTTGGATCAATCGAAGCTTGAGAAAAGCTCACCGGAAAATCATCGATCGGGGGAGTAGAATCCGCCGATCGCCATCTCCGGTCAGGGGGAGTAGAACCAGCTCCAGACTTTGTGAAATCGTTCGTAGTCCACCTGTACTCAGATCTGAAACATCTATTTTCGAACTCAGATCGTAGTCCATAGGATTTGGTTGTGATTTTACTATCGATGAGCTCATTTTGTGGGATCATTCTAGGGCATCTCCTTCACCGTTCGAACTCAAATCTAGAAAGTTAAGGCAATTCAAGATCAGAGAGAGAATTTACCACTTGAAATCGCAAGGGGCAAGTCACGAAGAAAAAAGCGGTGTTCCCCGGAGCTGGTATTGCGGTGGATGTCGGTGACGGTGGAGTTGACGGATGAGAGAGATGGGCTTGGTTTCTGGAAAGAGGGAGAGATGAGAGAGAGAAAGATGAGGAGCTTGAGAGAGAAGGTGGGGAAAGGGAGGTCGGAGTGGAGGAAAACGACGCGGGCCGTTGGTGGTGGTGGTGGTGGTGTCGGAGATGACCAGTGACAGAGAAGATGGAGGGTTTGATTTTGTTTTACACCGTATAACATATTATGGGGGTGTTCGGGAAGAAAAAAAAAAAAGCTCAATTTAGGTTAAAATACACAAAAAGATAAAATAGGTTAAAATAATTAATAAGATAAAATATCACATCAAATTCATAATCATTTCACTTTTTCTCTCACAAACATCACATCCAATCACAAAAAATCTAATCATCTTCCCAAATACAAAAATTTTAACCTACTAAAATAACCAAAAATTAAAATAGCCTACTAAAATAATCACTTCCCAAACGAGACCTATATATATATATACATGAATAATTTAGTCATATTACAGGAAATTAATTTTATGAACAAAATATTTTAAAATAAAAATCTTTAGATAAAAAAAAATTAAAAAAAAATCTAAAGTTGTTTAGGGTGTCTTAAATAAGTGTATTTTTTGTCTTTTTAGATTAAAAAGTTGAGGTTGAAATTATGAATGTTTAAGTTAACTTTTTAATTTTTTATGGAAAAATATGTATTAAAAATTGTATAAATTAATGTGTAAGGAAAAATTAATATTGAGAGTTATGCAGCCGTAATTGTTCACTTTTGATAAATAATAATAACTTTTTAACTTTTTTTAGACTTCCCAAACTTGACCTTAAATTTAAATACTGAATGCCCTGATTTTTTGGGAAATGATTTTATAAAATAATTTGAAATAAGGCTTTGGTTGCCTGGGAATTTAGGAGTGATTTGAATGTTCGAAGTAAATGTACTTTTCAATTTTTTATAAAAAAAATTTATACAAAAATAGAGAAAATATGTATAAAAAAAAATAAAGAAAAAATATTGATAGACATTAATTGATATGACCCAAATAAATATATGTATGTAAAAAGGTGTACTTTCTTAATACAGGCAAAACGTCTACTTAGGGTTGGTTTGGGATGTTCTAAAAAAGTGTATTTTTTGACTTATTAGCTTATATGGGTTGGGTTTGATGTGATGTGTTAGAAATGTGATGTGATTTAAATAAGATGATGTGATTTAAATAAGATAGTGACTTTTTAACTTTTTGTATTATTTAATTTATGCCAAACCAACCCTTAATTTCCAATAAATAGCATAGCAGGGCGGCTCTCATCTTTTGGACCCAAAATAAACTCTAATTGTGGGCCTTGATCAAAATGTTATAGATTTTTTTTTTTTTTTTTGGCAATGTTTCATAAAACTTTGGGTAGTGTTTTTTTTCAAAAACATGATAGAAAAATAGATAACACTCCTAAAATAAATAAATAAAAAAAACCCCTTCTATGATATTACAAATCAAATAATCAATACATGGAAATACAAAGAACCGATGGCGATGGTTCTCTCACCTCCCCGATCTTCCTCTCCTCTCCCTTCCTTCAATCCTCTTCTTAATATAGATTTGATGTTTTTCTCATCAATGCAGTTATCACCAGTTTACCCTCTTCATTATCGAGTCCAAAACTTTAAAATCTAATTTCAGACCTTCTTACATTCTAGAGGCCGATACTAGATAATATGTTTGTTTTACGCTATGCAACCACCTAAATGTTCTATCTTAACTAGTGAAGGTGGGGTTCCAAATTGAAGATTGTGAAGCAATGGAGTTTTGGAAGAGTTCGGTGGCGACTTAGATCTGATTTTTTTGTTTGGTTTCTTAATTTTTAGGTTGGTCATGTAATAATCATTCTTGAGTGGGGGTTTATTTCCCTCTCTTGTGAGGGCCTTTTCTCCTTCTCTATAGAAGTTTTGATCCTTCCTTTTATATAAGTTGTTTGTCTTTTTGAGATATTATGATATCGCTGTATCAGATTGGTACGATTTTTTTATTAATTTTGCAATGAAATTTTTCTTCCCGATCTAAAAAAAAAAATACTAGGAAACACAAAATTATAATAATAATAATAATAATAATAAAGCAGCCCAAAGAGGTGGCCGGCAGGCCATCATAGGTTGTAGGTTTGAAAATCGCAGGGTTTGGTCCAAAAACAATGGCAACAGGGGTGCAAAGTTTGAAAGGCTCAAAGCTATGGCGTTCCGCTGAGGATTTTGAGCACTTAAAAAGTATATACACTCATCATCTCATATATATATATATATATATTAGTTATTTAAGTTGTGATATAAATATTTATTTTTATTGGTTAATGGGCTATATGATCAGGCTCAAAATATGTGTGTTTTCCTTTTAGACGGGATAAAACTTTAAGTTAGGCCCGAAATGTCTGACCCAACCAAACCGCATGCCATTTGCCCACCCCTGGCTAGATGTTTCATTTGTGGGTTAAAGATGTAATTGGAATACCTCACTTAAAATAAGCACAGCTAGCACCACAAATTTTCCATTTGATCATTGCATTAGACATGATATATTAATGATCAAATCGATAAAAAAAAATAATAATAGTAGATGGCACAAAGACGGTGCAGAGTTTATAAGACTACTGAATAATTATTCAAATAAAAATTTTCAAGATGGAAGTGACGACGAGATTACAAAATCTTATACTATGTAAGAAAAAAAAAATTTAGAATAGAGAATGGTAAGACATATTGGCCATGTTTGATTTACAAGACTAATAGTGAGGTATTAATAATCTTATCAAATTAATATGGTATTCACTATCCAATTGGATTAATGGGATTGGATTAATAATCTCACTCCTACCCTATTACTAACAATCCTACAAATTGTTCGATTAATTATCCATTGGATTAATAATTCTAAATCCAAATGTTAAAACAAAAATAGGATAATTGGACCCACGGATTAATAATCTCAATCCTATGCTCTAATCCATCCAATCAAACATGTCGTTTGAGTCACAATTTGTTCTCCCTATAACTTTCATTTATTTCACCCAAAAAAAAACAAAAACATTCAAGATCTTTTATACCTTTATTTAGCAATAGCTTCTAGTAATTTCAAGTAGCAATTCATCGATTTTTCACCATGTGTACACACGAACAAAATCAACAAAACGAAAGCCAACAAACAATGCACCATTATGCTTAAACACCACACTAACTATATGGTTATATTGCTCGGCGAAAGATATATTCACCAATACTGTTCCAAATTGATTGAACTTTAAACCTAGAGGCATAACAATCGGTGTTGGTTGTTGATCACCCAATATCCTTACTAGTGTAGAAAGTAGAGAGAGAGAGAGAGAGAGAGAGAGAAACTTTAAAAGATATTATTCATTTCAATTACACAATTACAGCACTTGACTAGTTCACTTATATACACAGATATATTGTTCACTCTAACTAAGTTTGTTACAGAATCTGTTGTGAGTTTGTTACATGTAAATGATCTCATGTAAACAGCCTATAGGCTTGTACTGTTCCCTTAACACTTATACCAATAGCTAACCTACAACTGCCATACAAAGCAGTCTTAGTGTAACGCCTCACTACTTGCTGGCCCAAATAACTTGTGGGTTGACCAACAATACCCAAAAGCTTAAGTCCAAGTTATTTAGTAGCTAGCAAGGCAGTGGTGCTTTATATGCCCAAAATCACCTATGCAAACTTCCGATGTGGGACAGGGTGTAACAAACTCCCCCACTTATAAATCATCGCGTCCTCGTGAGGGTCTATCATCAATCAAAATACCACGACAAGCTCCTGGCCAGCCCATAATAAGTGGCCCACATGGTTGTGTACATGGGTCGGCTCTGATACCATTTGTAACGCCCCACTACTTGCTGGCGCAAATAACTTGTAGGTCGACCAACAATACCCAAAAACTTAAGTCCAAGTTATTTAGTAGCAAGGTAGTGGTGCTTTATATGCCCAAGATCACCCATGCAAACTTCCGATGTGGGACAGGGTGTTACACTTAGCAGGTCCCCTATGTGTACCTGAAGAGAACCTCGAGACCTGACTCATACTAGATGCTGTAGTAGATGTAGCTGGAGCTAATGTAGCTGAAGGTATAGCTGGAGCTGGAGATATAGCAGGTGTGTAGCTTGACTTTTTCACGCCCCTTTTGGGAAGTTGAATAAACCCTACAGTATCAGACTCCCGCGATTCTGAATCTGATTCCACAAGTGTAATGTGAAATAGATAATCACCAAAGAGTCTCAATCCAGTAAACCTTTTAGAAAATCGATTTTGAATCAAATTGTCAAAAATGGATTGCTTTGCCAGATATAGAGTCTCCATCTAAATATTTTTGAAAAATTTAGGAAACCCATGACTCTTGCCAAATGCCACATGTCTCTCATCACCAAGATTATCTCGACTCGAGAACTTAGGTACGAGAGGGGAAGGTTGTGAATTGAGCACCCCCGCTCGCCCGATCAAAGATTGGCCTCTACTAATCATGATATGAATCTTATCAACATTATATACTCTTGTTCCGGTTTATTACGCTAGCATTACTATGTGATGCGCACACATACAAGTATAGACTAACTTGCAAGAATTAGAACATTTCAATTCATGTTTGTTTGAAAATTATTTTGAATATGTACCACTTGAAAAGGTGATCGCATATAAACATTACTCAAATTATTCCAATTCAAGCAACTAACTTTCAGCCATAAGCATTCAAGAAATTATTATTTAAGTATTTAGCCTCATGGTAAGCATGCTAGACATGGCAATATCAACATGCAATATGCTAAAGCGAGTAAAGACTCACCTAGTACTCCAAATCAAAAGAGAAACGAGTTAGAAAAATGCATGATTCCTA